ATTTGGTGGCCCGGCAATGGCCGAGCCACTTCGGTGAATTGGCCAGAATCGGTTTTTTCAGTTCTTTTATGGATTCTTTCAGGATTTGGGTGTTCCAACTGATCTGATATAGTAGTTATGCAGTTGTTAACTGAAGATAGAGGGGATCCCTCGTTTTGATCTAAAAAACCATCAACCAAGCCTATAAATAAGAGCTCGAGTGTTCATTTTTGAGGATCTAGAAATCAAGAGGACGAAGTGCTATCAAATTGGAGATAGGAGCACAAATTTCAGAGAGTTAACAGATCTTGGCGGAGTTCTTCAACAAAGTAAGAGTTCAAGAGATCTGGGACTCATTCCATCCTCCTCCGGATTTAATCCTAGTCTTAAATCCCAAGAAGAGCCGTGATTTTGCTTAGTCAAAATCGCCGCTATTGCAATCACTTCCTTCGTGAAGCGAAAGCATTGATTACCCAAACTTCTGCTCACCGGATCTGATCTGTAGGTGGTCCACGGATAAACCCCGGCACTGACAACGATCCCGCACAAGCAATAGGCGATAAACTTCTATTGCATGTAGTTTGAGAGAAAATTATAACTTTTGATTTAAAAGTCTTATAAAAAGCTTATTTATCTGAGTTTATTGTAAGTGTTTAAAGCTGTAATGGACTCATCAACAAAATCAATTTTCCACCCAAACATCTTCGATCTTCGAACCTAAAGTCTAGCGAGTGTTCCTGGAAGAGGAGGCCTTCCTACGCTTGCTAGGAGAGGTGGATCTGGAGGAGGAGGAAGAGAGATACTCTTCAAACTTCTGCTAGTCGAATTTATATACGACCTCTTCGTTCACCCGGATCTTAATTGCCGGTTGCGTCACGACAGCCTCGGCAGCGAGGCTGTTAGCTCCCACTGTGGTCGCTAGTTTCTTTCCTTTGAAAGTTACCTTCATTACTGATTTTATTATAATTTTAATCATTTACAAAGAATTCAAGTAACAAAAATAAAAGAATTATAACTCTCTCGAAAATAATACAAGATCCGTTTATCGTCTCTTGCTCACGTGGGTTTCTGGCCGGTGACGGGGACGTCAATATCCGTGGACTGTAGGCATATAAAATTGCTTATAGGTCCCTTAGCTCAGCTCGGCACAAACCGACAAACCAACGAGGCAACGAGATTGACTAATCGCACGCAAGCAACGGAATACATCCATTCGCGTGCGGGATCAAGCCAAGTGTTCGAAGAGTCAACGAGTCATCCAACCAAGGGCATACTCGGACGAATCACGATCGAATCAAGATCGGTTTCGGACTCAGATTCAGAAGCGGATTTACTGCCTAATCAGGATCCAGATTTACTGCCAAATCAGGAATCGGATTTACTGCCTAATCAGGATCCAGATTTACTGCCAAATCAGGAATCAGATTTACTGCCTAATCAGGATCCAGATTTACTGCCAAATCAGGAATCAGATTTACTGCCTAATCAGGATCCAGATTTACTGCCAAGGTGGCTCGGCCCAGAGCCGAGCCACCCTGAGGTGGCCGGCCCAGATCTGTGCCTAGGCACAGATCTGGGTGCCTATAAATAGGCTAGGCCTTGGTTCATTTCGAGGGTTGGTGGCTCGGCATGAGCCGAGCCACCTTGAGGTGGCCGGCCACCTTGAGCTGGCCACACGTGCACACGGGCACGGGCACAGTAACGAGAGCCTATAAATAGGCCAAGGGGTTCTTCATTTCAAAAGGTTGGAAATTTTGGAGAGAGGCGAAGCCCTGCTGGATTGGAGACTCGGAACTTAAAAAAGATTGAAACTTTGGGACTTCGGGGACTCACTCCTTCAGATCTGGTGCTCGGCGATCATCAACGTCAAATAAGGCAGGTGTTCGAGAGGATCAGATCTCAGATCTACGCAGGCATACTCCGGATCTAAGCTTGGTCTTAGATCCCGAGACTTGGACGATTGTTTCCTTGGTGAAACAATCCTCCCCGGCTATTATTTCCTTGGTGAAATAATACCCGTCGTACTGCGTAGATCCGACCGGATCTAGATCTCGTGGTGGTCCACGGCAAACAACCCCGGCGCAGGCAAAGAACCCACCAAGCGAGCGACTGCAAAACAGGAGCTCGCGATTCGTTCGACACAAAAGGAGAAAAGTTGTAATCTTTGTTTATTTTTATTTGATTTTCGTTGTAACCGGATCTTTTGTAACTCAAAAAGTTGTAACTTAAGATGACAATGGAATCAATAACAAAGAAAGACACGAATTTTCCAGCGAACAAAGATCTTTTTAATTCTGCTTCAATTGTTTTAGGATTGATTTATATATCAAACTTGCGAGTTTGATGACATACTTAAGCTGGGGTAATTTAGGGTTGGTGTAATCAAGCCAAGGTAATTGAATATGGCTAGCTAGAGTTAGGTTTCTTCTGATCATTGTGAGGAATTGGGTATCTTGATTGGTTTCGAGTAGATTTCAAGATCCTATTTGTAAAGCCTAACGAACCAGGTTGTAATTCACAGATGACTTTGATCATAGTGAAGAAGGCCACTATAAAAATCTCGTGTGTTCCCGTGTTGGTTGTTCTTAGTTTTTTATTTTTTATTTTCTGTGACATATTATTTGTTTTTCACAAAA